AATATGTTCTTGTTTAGCTGTTACTAAAAAATTGTAAAATTTTGAATATAGTTCAAAAGACATAGTTTACTATTAATAATATAGAATAAGCAACCTGAATGAAAAATTTCGTATACTACCCTTTTAAATAACTTTATTTACATTCTTTTTGGACTTGTATTCATGTTGGAAAAGAGACAGAAAAATATGCAACAAACTCTTACACCAAAATTTTGCATTAGAGAAAAGATATGTGGAAATATATATTGAAGATCTTGATATTTAGAAAAGCGTTAAGGGTAATGCATATATGGATTTTTTTATCTGTCTTGCTTAATACTATGACCTGATAATGTTATATATATAATTCAGTCAAAATAGGTAGACTTCATATAGTAGAAATAGTCTGTCTCTCTGAAGCAAATATACATATCAGTTAATATATTATTTTTCTAGAACATTGCAAGAAAAAAAATAAAATATTTTTTGGGGAGGATCAATTTCTACATATATGAAATTATTTTGTTGCACAAGCAAATAGTCGCACTCACACAGATGATTGACAATATATCACTATTACATCATATGCACTTTACAAGCTTTAATAGAGATTAGGAATATGTTTATTTTTGTCATATCAGAAGTAAATATATTTTATAACTAAGATAATATTTAGGAACTTTTGTCAAGAAAAAAATTCACATGATTTTGGACAACCTAAGGACGCTAAAATTTTGCCAAGAAAAAATATAGTGTGAATAAAGATATATTTCAAGAAAGTAATGATTTATATTTAAAATATTGCTCAAAATCAGTCAGTCATCCAGTTAAACAATCGTGATTTCTACCTCATTTCTCAATCTTAACGTAGTATCTTTTGGTTGATTAAGATTGTTTGTGAATGATAACAAGTTTCTTTGTTTTGTATACCAAGACGAGATAAATATTTCGCTTGTCATATGTTTTTTTAGAAAACCTTCTGAATATCAATAAGGAGTTAGTGGTAAAGGAGAATAGGTCAATAAATAGACCTTAATCACAGAGTATGATTCATTTTTGGTCTCAGTCTTGAAGCAAGAGCAATCCTAATGATTCTTCATCAAATCTTCAGACTCAATTTCATAGGCCTATCTGTGTCATCTATCATAATATACTTTTCTAGACTTTACTTCAGCAATTTCTAACATTTGAAACAGATAGCCATCTGACTTTTGTAGACATTGGATTTACGATAGCCAAAGCAATCTTTATATAGCTCACTTTTAATACAGTATGTTTTGGATTCTACTTGCTTGAATAAAGCGAAAAGGCTATACACATGATATAACTATATTCTCGCTTAGAAAGTAATTCTTGTAGAGAACATTTTACACAATTAGCCCATTGTTGAGATGTTTAATGAGGTCTAATGATAGATAAATAATCATATTGCTTTTTTATTTTAACCACTTTTTTAAACCATTCGTTTAAATGATCATGATAATAGTTAGCAACATATTTCATATCATATCCAGGACAGAGATTGATAGATTTAGATATAGCTTTATTATAAATATTATCTAAAATAATCTTAACCATTAGTCCAGACATATTTGATGATTATATGTGATTACAGACAATAAATAAGACTTATAGCAATTTTTAGTGATATATAGCGTTTTTAATGAATATTTCTTATTATAGCAGTTTGTAGCAAGTATATTATAATAAAATATCAGATTCATTTTTTATTTGATTACAAGCATATCGAGGGTTTATATAAAGTCTACATCTGGCTATGTATATATTCACATGCATGTAAGGGATTTTTTGATGGCATAAATTTGGTTAAATTAATTTCAAGATAATATAATGGCTAAATTATTTTTGGATCTATTAATCAGAGAATTATGATGTATATCATATCATAGGAATCATCCTAGCTTCCTGTCAGTTTCACGACAGTTCTTGGATACTTCTTCAATACTAGCTAATCACCGAAATCATGAGATGATTGGCTAATCAGATAAAAGACAACTAAGCCACCGTTATTATTTGAACTAATCATTATATGGGAACGTTTCCAGTAAAATCAAGTCATGAAGCATAGTAAATCATATGATCTGTAATGTGATTTTACTGGAAACGCTCCTATATATTTATCATAGTCATCATTCATATTATTAGATATTTCTTTATAAACAAGCATCCATTCCCTAGGATTCTTTCATTATGTGAAATTATGTCTTCTACCAAGTAAAGTAATACACAGACCCACTTTCTCATTGATGAATGAAAACAGAGAAATGCTGAATTCCACCTTACTCCGAATAAGAAGAAATAACTTTTCTGGAATGACATTGCTAATAAGATTAACGAATGGAAAAATACAAATTATTTTACTGGTGAGAACTGTAATAGGAAGTTCACAAATCTCAAAAAGGCATTTAAAGTAAGTGGTGATTACTGGGTTCTTTGGAGGAATCTGCCTTAGGTTGATATAATTATTTTTTATTAGACAGCTTAAAAATATAAAGAAGGTAATGGAACTAAAAGAAGTTTAGTTGGCGAAGAGATTTATGAAGAGTTTTCTAACGAGTTTTAGTTAAAACCAGGTATATACCTTCGACAAATGGTTATAAGCCCAGCTATGTTACTAACATTGTAAATCTATTTTCTAGAACTACCATTTAATTTTGGTGATCTCTGCAGTAATAGACGCATTATTTTTTATATCATGAGCGGAGATTTCATCAGAGATTTTTTGTTTGAGAATCGTCTATATGGTAATAATCCCCATGAATATGGTCAAAATTATGAGTAAAAAAATAGCGGGTAGAGCCAAAAATGACAAGCTTCCCAAAGAGTTGAAAATTGTTAAATTAGACATGATATAAATAGAGTGATACGTAGTAATTTTATTAAGCTAGCTTATTGGTGGATCACAGTTATTTAAAATGAACGATTTTTTTTGCATACATGTAACTAGGGACACAAGGCTCTTTTATACTTTATTGTTTCTAATGCCTGTGAAATGGATATTTAACCCAATTTGTCAGAGTGAAGTAAAAAATTACGTTATTGCTTCATAAGGGCGTTTCCTACCAATTGTTAAAAAATACAGTTTAACCGTTCCAAAGTTAATCCGATGAAATCATGAAATTATGACAAATTGATAGATGCCAGTTAATTCTAATGAAGTAATAAAAGGGGAGTTGTCACTGTTTAATATTAAGATTGCACAAGATCTGAAAACCATAGCAGATCGCTCACGTTTATTTGTGTAATTACACGCTGTTTTAAACCCCTATTCGTGTCCTATACAAATCTACCAACAACCCATAAATGGAATTTTGTTTTATTATGTAGAATGGATATGGTACCCCTAATCCCTATTACATTTCATAAGATTGAGATCTGTAAATCGGTAGAATTAAGACACTCAATTCCCATTCTAACATCAGGTAGTGGATCAATCTGTGTAACGTGTAATTCAAAGATTCGTAATATATGTATCGTGCCAGAATTTTCCGGAAAAAAGTGAATATCACTACCAGATTAATTATTTATTGATCTAACCCCACAATATAATCCCAAAGATTTGCAAAATACCTTGGCCCTGGCTTCATTGTTACAAAAATAGCACTCTGTTGATCCTCCTAGCCATTATTACGGAAATAACACATCTAAAAATAAAAACACTGCGGAAATGGCACAGGGCGTAGTTAAATCATATAGAGATGACGTACTTACTGCACATGATATATTTTTTTGCCTGACCAAATACCAAATAATCTTCTATGCATTTCAGGTGATAGATCTACTAAGCGTCTCACATGACTGACCTATGCTACCACCTCGCTATATCTAAACATACAACCTATATGATAAGATCCCTCCATATATCGACCTACTATATTTTCTATATGATTCGTCTCGCATGATGGACATAATGAAGATTTTGTCTTGCAATGATATACATTTTCAAATCTGTCATTACTACAGATAAAAGATATTCCGGAGGATTGGATTATTGGGTTGAGGAATAGGTGTTACCACAGCTTTGGACGAACTCTCTAGGCAGATTTCAGAGGAATTATCTGAAGAATCACCTGAAGAATTGGAGACATGAGTAATAGGAATAGATGCAGATGGTAAACTTACCTCTTATGCCTCCGACACATCAGTTTGACTGGAAGAATCATCATTAATAGAATTGTCTTGATCATCGCTAAAATCTATACTGGGCTTATTTGAGAAATGATCCATAATCTTTTGGATTTCATCTTCTGTGATAAGTGCTTTATCACATAACTGAGCCAAATGCTGAAATACTTCTATCATACTGGCTTCTTGGGATGAGAATTCTGAATTAATAGTGTCAGATTTCCGAGACCGTGTAGTCTTGAAAAATTGCCAAGTGAATACAAAATTGGGACTGCGCCTGTGATACACAAAGTTTCTAAGCTAATGTTTGTGGACCACATACACAAAAGTCCATTTCCTATTATTTTTTCATCCTTGCTCTCTTACTAGTGGGAGAGCTTTAACTTCCACCTTATCATTCAACAAATCCACAATTACTTCCATAGCTTTTTTACACCTCTGCACCACCATCATTTAATATATTCTTGTTAAGATTGACTTTTGTACAATAGATTCTTTCTGATGTATAGCATATCTGAGTCCGGGCTGTAAGATCAGAGGCTGAAAGACAGAAATAGAAGTTAGCTATAGCCTGGTATTATTGTATGAAAAAAATATATAAGGGTTCTCTTAGCTGAAATTGCCTAAGAATACCCAGAAAGGACCAAGAAAATTCATGTGATTGAGATTTTGCAAATCAATGATTACATTTTATTTAGCAGATATAAAGTTACACTATATATAATAGATAAATAGGAGCGTTTCCAGTAAAATCACATTACGGATCATATGATTTACTATGCCTCATGACTTGATTTTACTGGAAACGTTCCCAAATGATAATTTAGTAGCAACTAGCAAGGTAGATAAATTTTTTTTTCGATGTAAGTTATCTATCAATAAAAACTTTGATTAAGTATCTGAATGTTCCCTTTTATTTGAATTACCAGTTCTTCGATGTGGTAGAACTCAGCTTCTAGCAATAGTTCTTCAAGCAATGATTTGTTGTAAAGAGTTCTTTTCGGTAAAACACTTGTTCTCAAAAATTCGAGAACATACTTAAATAATTCACCATTTCGGTCGATGAAAATGTTTCCATCATAATCCAATGTGTCAAAAACATTTCCATTAAGAGGCATCTCAAAAAAATTCGTTTTTTTTAAAAGTGTTCCTTTGGTGGTGGTGTAGAGTACGCCACCAACATTAAGCGTAACGAGGATGGTACGAGAGCCATTTCCATGTGATGATTCGTTCTAGTAATGCAATAAACAAAGTCAATTTACTATAAATCGGTTGAATTATTGACAAAAATAAATTATATTACCTCAATTTTATACACAGTAAATTTGCTACTCTCAGCCATTTTTGAAGGTAAAAAACTAGTCTTTGTCCTATCAGGAAAGTAAATTCTTGTCCTTGCACGCGTTGATAGAAAGTCCCAGCTTCATTTTCGGTTTCAAAGTGAACATGTCCTTACGATTTATATAATGTTTTAAGAACATGGGATACCCCTACTGAAAATTTTGTAGAAATAAAATCCTTGATCTCATGACTGCTTTTTCCATTTAGTTGAATACAGATTTATTTAAACGATAACAAGGAGTCGTTTTAGTCATTTTTCGTTTCTTAAGACCTAATATAGGATAAAAAAAGTGAAAGCGTAAGAAATATAATCATGACGCAAAAAATGTAAAGCGTGAGCATGAACATGAGCGTGAACATGAGCATGAGCATGAGTATTCCCAAGAATCCATTTCTATGTTTGTTACGAAGGGAGGTACATAACCGATTCCTCCTCCAGAATCGGTAGACCTTCAACATAGTAACTTCTTGTGAGCATAACTGATAAGCGTGAGCGTAAACGTGAGCGTAAGCGTGAGTGTGAAGAATCCATTTCTTCGCTTACCTCCTTCCATAATATAAATCAACATTTGAGAGATACGCGTATAAATATTTATGTATAAGGAATCCTCGCAAGAAAAGTATTAATAAAATGAACGCGTAACGTAATTATTTTGGCTACTATATTTATGGAGTTTTCTTGTGATACATTATGACATTTTCTACTAAACACTAGGGAAACGGAAACCGTTGTTAAGTCCGGAGCTTCTCACAAGTTACACATGATCATGGGCGGAATTAAAAAATGATCAATTGCAGACTTCAACATATTAAGAATTGTAGAAGATTACAGGAAAGTAAGTCTATAATACCTTGAAAATAAACAATAAATTTACATCAACAACACTTTAATAATAACAAAAAAAAATAATTCAACGAACAGAAGGGTTACGTAGAGCTCCTAATGAGTCGAGTTGACTCGAGTTGACTTACGTGAATACATGTTACACGAATTACCATTTTGGGAATTTTGTATACCTCATTTTTGGTGATTTTCCAATTTTTCGATAGCCAAAATTTCCTTTTTAGGAATTTGTGTAACCATATGTCTATATTTAGAATCTTGTGTACCGCAATTTGGTACAATCCCATAATTCGAAAATATACCAGTTACGAAGCTTTAATTGAATATTTTTAATACGTTTACTTGAATATCTCAGCGTCCAGTGATCCGTTAGAAAAGAGAAAAAAAAAAAACTCTCTCTGCTAATATGCCAGTTACTAAACAAAATTCAACAACTTCAAAAAATTTTCAAACGACTCAACCTTACCCAATAACTATATTAACAAACGAAAATAAAACCATGGAACAA